AATACTCAGTGGATATAAAACAAACGCATTAAGGAGGATGAGGCTGTGATTGGTTTCATCAAGGTCGCACTCGTTCCGATAATGCTTCGAAAATAGAAGGACATCGAGTATCAGTCAGCATCAACACCCTTCATCCGTGTAACAAACATCAAGGAAATTTGCGAGGAAGCGCTTACCAAGGTAGCAAACAAAGCATCGCAGTAAGCATCTTCACTATGAACGTGCCCAAACCTGCCTGGTTGAACAGAATCGTTGGATTGACCGGCTCAACTTAGAGCCAAGAAATGCGTAGTTGTACTATGAAAGAGTTAAGTACATCTTACACGCCAAGCCGTTTCTTTCGAGCAACACAGATCAATTTTTGGCAGATATGTATTTTTTGTATTACAGTTCTTTCCAAAAAGGTCCCTCTACTTGTTTTTGAATAGGTCAAGTTAGCAAACTGAAATTTACGATAATGAAATTGATGCATGATTACTAATAATAATAATAATAAAAAATAATCTTTATTTCAAAATAATAGTGCACAATTACAACGTAATGTCCGCTGTCAGGTGAAATATACGTCACATAATGCCATAATAGCAAACAAATGCAAGAAACAAAATAGTGTCTAAATATTACACAATGTTTGTTTCACATTTCTAGATATTCATCGAGCCCATATGGCTCTAGATTCATTAGTAACTTGTGAATACATTTCTTGAACTGTTTTATATTCGACAAGTTTTTAACTTCCTGGGGTAACTTATTGTAAAGCTTTGCACAACTGTAATGTACGTTTTTTTCGGTAATAGATAATGAATTAGGTACACAAGAGTTATATCTCTGTTCCTTGTATTGTAATTGCCTGCGATTCTTATAAAGTACCCAATATTTTTAAATGTAAAAATCAATATTTCCTGAATATACAGGGTGTCCCAGAAGTCGACGTCAAGCCGAAACCGGGTGATAGGCAAAGTCATAACAGCTATCAGAAAAATATTTAAAAAAAATTTATGTATGTCTTTGAAAAAGATATAGAAATTTCACATAGTCTGTCAAACTCCTGTTACTACAAATATTAACTTTTTTTGGATTTTATTTTTACAATGTAATGATGAATAATGCATCTTCAAACTGGTGTCTCAACCTTACTGTAAACTTTTCTCGTTCAGGAAAAATTGCCACTTATTTCCCAACCAAGTATTCCAAAGTAAAACTTTGCTCAACTTTAACTGGCTGTACTGGAAAAAAATGTACTACGAGAGTTTGGCAAGTAACCTTAAAAGTTGACGCATTTAATAACGATTCCAAAATGGTATAACACTTAGAAGATTACTCGTTAACTTATGCACAATTTTTATTTGAAAAAAAACTGATGAAATTTTTTCAAAATGTCCTAATTAAACAGCGATTATGAAAACGCACAAGGACCCTTAAGGATAACTGTTTGCACAACAGTGGGCGTCAAAATGCTGCTGATGATGATTTACCTTTACAGCAAATGCTCAAACTGTTTTCCTTCATCCGCAATACACGCTCGACATCTTAAAAAAGATCTGGTTATTAAACGAGCGAATCTACGGTTATTAACAAACTCAGCTGCTTCCAATAGTCTTTGCCGTAGCTCAGCTACATTTTGAATCGGCTTGAAATACACTTTTTCTTTTACAGTTCCCCAGTAAAAAAATCTAAAGGATTCAAATCAGGTGATCGGGCTGGCCACGGTATTGTACCAGACCGCCTTATCCATCTGCCTGGAAAGTTTTGATCGAGATACTCTCTCACTGAGAGTGCATAGTGCGCTGGGCAGCCATCATGCTGAAACCACATGTCCCTGTAAATACTCAGTGGCACGTCCACCAGTAAATTTTGTACATGATTTTTCAAAAAATCCAAATAAACTTCAGCAGTCAAAGTCTCTGGGAACTCAAACGGACCGATTATTTTACCATTTAAAATTCCTGTCCAATGGTTTATCTTGAAGCGATATTGAGATTTATCTTCTCTCATCAAATGTGGGTTTGCTACGTGCCACTCGTGTAAGTTATGCAGGTTCATGTACCCATCTTTCTTAAATGTGGTCTCGTCCGACCATAAAACTTTTCAAAGAACTGTGGATCTTTCCTGTGTCTTTCTAACATTGTGCGACAAAAAGCAACTCGGGGCTCATAATCCCGGGGCAGGAGAGGTTGAACACGCTGTATGTGGTATGGATGAAGCACATCACTTACTTGCTATTGCACACTTTGATACCGATCAGTACTCCTTCGTTTACTGCGCATCTTTACATGTTCGTGCTTGTTGACTTCGTACTGTTACTAATTTTGGATTCGTGAACTGGACTGTTGATCGCTTGTGATTTGGATTTGGACTGTTTAATTGCTCTTCAAAACAACATTTGCTTTCCTTAGACTATCTTTGATAGTGTGATTGTGCAGTGCCGCTATGTCCGTGTACACCGTACAAGAATATGCTAACATGCACCTCATTTATGGGGAATGCAGATGCAACGCTAGTGCTGCAGCGAGACTTTACTGTGAGAGGTACCCAAATGCAGCTCGCCATCCAGATCATCGAGTGTTCACAAATGTGCACCTCTTACTGTTCTCAGAGGGCCAACTACCAAACCAATCACACGGTGAGGGAAGATCTTTCCTTCCTTACGAAGACGTGGTGCTAGGAGCTGTCGAAGAAGACCCGAGTACTTCAGTGCGTGCAATAGAACTAAAAACAGGTGTGCCCAAAAGTACAGCCCATAAAATCTTACAAAAAAACGTGCTCCATCCATACCACGTACAGCGTGTTCAAGCTCTTCTACCCCGGGATTATGAGCCCCGAGTTGCTTTTTGTCGCACAATGTTAGAAAGACACAGGGAAGATCCACGGTTCTTTGAAAAAATTTTATGGTCGGATGAGACCACATTTAAGAAAGATGGGTACATGAACCTGCATAACTTACACGAGTGGCACGTAGCAAACCCACATTTGATGAGAGAAGATAAATCTCAATATCGCTTCAAGATAAACCATTGGACAGGAATTTTAAATGGTAAAATAATCGGACCGTTGGAGTTCCCAGAGACTTTGACTGCTGAGGTTTATTTAGGTTTTTTGCAAAATCATTTAGAAAATTTATTGGAGGACGTGCCACTGAGTATTTACAGGGACATGTGGTTTCAGCATGATGGCTGCCCAGTGCACTATGCACTCTCAGTGAGAGAGTATCTCGATCAAAACTTTCCAGGCAGATGGATAGGGCGGTCTGGTACAATACCGTGGCCAGCCCGGTCACCAGATTTGAATCCGTTAGATTTTTTTTACTGGGGAACTGTAAAAGAAAAAGTTTATTTCAAGCCGATTCAAAATGTAGCTGAGCTACGGCAAAGACTATTGGAAGCAGCTGAGTTTGTTAATAACCGTGGATTCGCTCGTTTAATAACCCGATCTTTTTTAAGATGTCGAGCGTGTATTGCAGCTGAAGGAAAACAGTTTGAGCATTTGCTGTAAAGGTAATTCATCATCAGCAGCATTTTGACGCCCACTGTTGTGCAAACAGTTATCCTTAAGGGTCCTTGTGCGTTTTCATAAGCGCTGTTTAATTAGGAAATTTTGAAAAATTTTCATCAGTTTTTCTTCAAATAAAAATTGTGCATAAGTTAACGAGTAATCTTCTAAGTGTTATACCATTTTGGAATCCTTATTAAATGCGCCAACTTTTAAGGTTACTTGCCAAACTCTCGTAGTACATTTTTTTCCAGTACAGCCAGTTAAAGTTGAGCAAAGTTTCACTTTGGAATACTTGGTTGGGAAATATGTGGCAATTTTTCCTGAACGAGAAAAGTTGGCAGTAAGGTTGAGACACTAGTTTGAAGATGCATTATTCATCATTTCATTGTAAAAATAGAATTCAAAAAAAGTTAATATTTGTAGTAACAGGAGTTGACAGACTGCCGTGTGAAATTTCTATATCTTTTTCAAAGACCTATAATTTTCAAAACACATACATAAAATTTTTTTAAATATTTTTCTGATAGCTGTTATGACTTTGCCTATCACCCGGTTTCGGCTTGACGTCGACTTTTGGGACACCATGTATATTGCCACTATGGTGAATATTTTATTCCCTTTAAATTTTCCTCTATATGTTTCATTACACGGAATTTTTAACATGCATCTCAATGCTCGTTTCTGTACCCGAAAGAGCCTGTTTATTTGGCTACTGTGTCCGTAAAAAATTATACCAAAACTTGCAATGGACTCAAAGTTGGCATGGTAAACAATTTTTAGGGTCTTAAGGTCTAGGTACTTACTTAATATCCTAATACTATAACAAGTGCTGTTTAACCGTTTTTCTAGATGTTCTATATGTGTAGCCCAGGAAAGTCCTTGGTCAATATACACTCCTAAGAATCTACCAGTGTCTGTCAGCTTGACTTCTACCCTATCAGCTAAGTGAATCTTCGTAGCTTCGATTTTTTTCTTTAATTTGAATACTATCGCATTTGTTTTTGATGTGTTCAAGGATATACCATTGCGAGCAAACCACCAAAATGCTTTCTCGCATATACTCAATGTATTTTCTGCTACTTGGTTGAAATCTTGGCCAGCTATAATCACACTAGTATCATCTGCATACTGAATAGTACATACATTATTCGGGTTTCCTATACTATCACTCAGATCATTTACAAACATCACAAAGAGGAGACGATCCTTGTGGGATACCTCTATCTACTGTTAACTGCGATGAGGCAGCTGTCATGCCATTCTTTATGATGGAAACACGTTGTTGGCGGTCTGTTAAATAAGACTTGACCCAGTTCCAGGCACTTCCCCTTATCCCAAATGCCTCAAGTTTTGTGTTGTAACACAATTTCAGCACATCATTTCACCTGAACAAAATCCTCAATATCCAGCAGTTTCTAGAGAAACGTCAACCCCGACAATTTTAAAATACACTGCATTCGTCAGAAGTTGAATCTTTTATAGAATTTTCTTATCCTGTCCGTTTTCAGGCCAAAGCAACGTATGGAACAGGCTGTTTTTTACTCTACAACACAGGCACCACAAAGGTGCACAGTTCTCATGGCCTGCTCACCACCGTGGCTTATCAGTTCGGCTCCGACAATCCGCCAGTGTATGCTTTGGAAGGATCTGTCGCTGTAGCCGGAGCAGCCATCAACTGGCTACGAGACAACCTGGGCATTCTACCGAACTTCATCGATGCTCAACAGGTTGCTGAGAAAGCGGAGAGTGTGAAAACTGGAGAGGTGTATTTTGTGCCTGCTTTCAGTGGGTTGTACGCGCCTTATTGGCAGCAGGAAGCTAGAGGGTAAGAGCAAGAAGAAATGTTTTTCTGGCCATTGAATAAAACCTTATTGTTGAAGAAAATTAACTTACTGTCGTTTCGGAAGTCTTCTAAAGCACTTTATTAGACAATCATACAATTCAGAGATCCAAAAAACAACAGCGAGCGAGGCAACCACAGAACTATTTTACGAAAAGTTCATTTGCATACAAAAAGCAAGTTTTATTAGATTTACACCCGATTCACTATGGCAACATTACATACAAATATGCCACTAATCGACCGATTATTGGTATCGGCGAAAATACCAAGTATAATCTGCCTGCTGAACTGCTCTTGTTGTGGGATCTTCATTTAGTTCCACCACAGACAATAGTCCTACCAGCAATTTTAGATGATCACTATTAAGAGACAAAAATATCCATTTTTGGTTCAAAGCCCTAAATTGAAGTCTGACGTATAGAGATGTCCAGGGATGATGCTCCTCCATGTCAGGAAATGTTGCCTCAAGATCCACTCATATGTTGTCCTCCTAACTCTTTGCACAAGCGTAGCTAAGAACCATGTTAGCCTGCTCTTTGATACCACACTCACAAAAGCATTTTGTCAAATCATATGATATTGTTAGTACCAAAAAATGAGTTCTGTATGTTTTAATTTCAGGGTAATAGTTGGCATTACTGAAGATACTGACACTTCTCATATTGTGAGAGCCACACTAGAAGCAGTTTGCTACCAAACCAGAGATATACTTGAAGCAATGAGCAGCGATTATGGAGCGCCATTGTCAACTTTGCAGGTACTGCGAAGGAATGCTAGGATTTTCGATGTCCTTATATATTAATTTGTGTATGAGTAACGTATATACACGTCATATATGGCGTCATGAAAATATAGTCCAAAGAACGTCCTCAACTCGTGATTCTTTGTGGCTTGACAATTTTCGAAGATACTCAATCCTTTCCAGCATGGTCTTGTTTATACCATATACCAAAATATATAATAATAATCGTCTTCATTTATAATGATTACATTATAAAAGTGCCAAGTTTAGCTCATATAGCTATTCTTCCACTTGACCCAAGTATAAAAAAAAATTTATGACACTGAACAAAATTATGTGAATACATTTAAATTTGAAATTAAATCTTCAGGCACATACACACACAAAATACATGTCTCTCATTGGTATGTGGTGAAGAGCAAAGGGTCTAGAACAGACCCTTGCAGTTCTCCAGATGTAATATCTCCAGAAGAATCATTTCCTAAAACTACTCCCTGTGATCTACCAGTAATATGGCATTGAAAGAAATTTAAACTTGATTCATATAGTCACAAATATTTCAGATATGCTATAGAAATATCGTGATTAAGGCTGATCGTCCATTGGAAGCGTAGTCGCGCGACTCGAAGGTAGCGCGTATACGCCCGTGTATGAGCGATCATGAGACTGAGCGACTGGCATCATTCACTGCAGGCGACTCTATACGACTTAGTTCGCAACTGTCATCATCGAAAGAAAGTGTGCTCTGTAAAATCATGTGAAATGGATTTGCAAAACATGTACTTTTTGGAGCAACATTACATAATAAGGCGTTTGAGAGCTCGTCGTGGTAAGAAGAGACGTTTGTGTTGGATAAATGAAATACTTAGTAGAAGAAATTTACTGGGAGAATTCCGTCACCTACATGACGATTTACTGAATGATCCGCAGAAATTCTTTGATTATTACCGGATGAGTCTAGACACATTTCAGTACATTTTGAGTGCTATAGAGTCATCGATCGCCAAAGATTCAAATTGCAGGGAGACAATAAGACCTGTGGAACGTTTAAGTGTGACTTTAAGGTAAGTAAATTTATTCAATTGTTATAAATCTATATTAAGTTTAATTGAACAAAAAAAAGTAACAAAACCATCTATCATAAAAAGGAAATAAAAAAAGTACTTAATAGTCGGACAATATGCATTCGTGTTGTAATTCTTATTGCGCCTGATCGGTATTAGCCTTCTTATTATAACACAGTTACTGGATATCTTGAAAGTTCCCGAAATATTGTCGCAAACCTGTATTAATCTGGTCTGCAGATGAGTTCGACGTTTGAATCGTCCATGAGGGTCCACCGGTTTCGCTGGTGCAAGGCGAGCGTACCGATGTTGTTGTGTAGGTCTATGGGGTATGCGGGGATCTGTGGTATTGCTCTCCTTCATCAATAAGAACTTGCTGAAGTTTATTTCTTGCATGCAATTTGCGGTGTTCTGGAACTTTTTTTAGATATGGCAGAAGAATAACCAAAAACTGATAGTCGCTGTCTCCTTCTTTGTTAGCATGTTCAGTAAATAACTGCAACTTAGCCCTCTCGATTTCTAGAAATTTATCGTCAACCGTGATGTCTGCTGGTGTATTTTTTTTACGTTTAGGATTGCTAGTTCTAGGTGTTATTGGAGGACCAGCAAGACGAACGTCAGCATTACCTGGTTGTGTATCATGCTGTATTCTACGCGTCTGATGGTGGTTCCATCTTACTGGTTTCGCTCGATGACATATTGAGTTCTCCTTTGTCAGTGACAACTGCTTGTGATGATTCCATATCGGGCAAATCATCTTCATCGGCAATATCGTCTCCGTCATTATTTCGAGAAAGTGTTCTTTCTGGCGAGGCAACATTTCCCTTCAGCTGTCGAGGCTCAATTATGTCTGACAGAAACAGCATCTGGTCGAAGAAAGTCCATGAAGAGGAACCTTCCTCCGGCGCCTCATCTCCTGATTTATGGACTTTTTTATATTCTCTTCTAAATACATCGCGCAGTCCTTTCCACTTTTTCTTTACTTCGTTCACTAAAACACAAAACCACAGTTTTGATTAATATTGCAAATAGGAACATAAACAATTTTTTTTCAATAAATGTTCATAATGATTTCTGTTGTTACAGGTACTTGGCCACATGTGCTTCATTCAAAACATTGGGGTATTCATTTAGAATGTCAGATGTAACCGTTGGAAGAATAGTTAAAGAAACGTGTATTGCTATTTGGGACCAGTTGAGCACTCTACATATGCCATTTCCTCCTACAGATGAACAGCAGGAGTCAATAAAAGACGGTTTTTGGCGTAAATGGAAATTTCCTAGTTGTGTTGGGTGCATCGATGGAAAACATATACGCATACGAAATCCAGACCATTCAGGCAGCATGTTCAGAAATTACAAGCATTTCTTTTCAACTGTGCTACAAGGTGTGGCGGGACCAGATTACAAGTTTATTACCATTGATACAGGAGGGTACGGCAAGGAAAGTGACGGTGGTGTGTTTTCTAATTCCCGCCTTCATAGAAGGCTTGAAAACAATGAGTTGGGTAATAAACGGCTTACCACACTGCCTGGATCGAATATTAAAGTTCCGTGCGTGCTGTTGGGAGATGAAGCCTATCCATTGAAAACTTACTTGATGCGACCTTTTCCCGCATCACAACTTGGACCTTCACATACAATTTTCAATAAACGACTTTCACAAGCACGGCAAGTCATTGAATGCGCGTTTGGTATTATTTCCGCCAAGTGGAGAGTACTTCAAAAAGGAATTGAGGTTGAACCAAACTTTGTCGATGATATCGTTAAATGTGTATGTTTGTTGCACAATATTATAATTGACAAAGAAGGCGGACCACAACCTATGTCAATACCTCAACAATCAGAAACCAGTACTACAAGAGCCAGATTTGCTTCCCTAGGCGAAAATAGGAGCGTCTCTACCGCTTATGTGATCAGAGACAAATTCGCAGCATATTTTTGTGAACATCAAGCAAATACCTAAAAAAACTTGTGTCTGAAGTAAAAGCTTTACACTGACGGTCTGTTTTTGCCTGAATATCTCTTATGTTTTGTTCACTTTGTAATATAATAATGATATTGAAAACAACACTTACCATTATTAGTAACACCTACTTCGTCTGCAACTTTCGACCACAATTTCCTCTGAACATCACGAGAATGATACCTTTTGTCTTTCATGTTCCACAACGGAGGCTTTTCACGAACGGCACTAATCAATTTTTCGTTATCAATTTCCATATCGAAAACTAAATATTACCTGCACAGAACACACGAACCCAAACGCAATGAATAATTTTATGGCGTCTTCGTCAGAGATAACCCTATGGTCTTCGTTTGCACATGCGATCACAAGCGACTAATCCCATTTTGGAGGGATCGGTCGCCAGTCGCTTGTGGTCGGCCGAGGTCGGTCGCTCAAGGTCGCTTACAGTGGATGTTGTTTACATAATTTGTCATTTGTTAGGATCAGTCGCTTGTATACGGGCGTATACGCGCTACCTTCGAGTCGCGCGACTACGCTTCCAATGGACGATCAGCCTAATTGTATCAAATGCTTTAGAAAAGTCAAGGAGTAACAGGACACTAGCCCTGTCTGCAGCAGTGATGATACATTAACTACAGACAACAGAGTGGTTGTTGTGCTGTATCCTTTTCTGAATCCAGATTGTATTAAATCATTTTCAGACAAGTATTTTTTTAGCTGCAACGAATTAAGTCTTTCAAGGAGTTTTGATAGTATGGGTAGCAAACTAATCGGTCTTACGTCACTGTAGGACTGGTCCATAAATTTTGAAAATACGCGTTTAATAAAAATTGATTCAAAACATAATTTGATCTTTTTGGCAGCAAAATTTTGGCGTTCATCGCCACCAATCGCCACGTCAAGAAGTATATATTTTTTCATTTACGTAAGTACAATATATAGTAATGTGATAATGTCAGTAACAATACATTTCTACGCACAAACAAATAATCAGAAAACCACGAAAGTATAACTTGTGTGTGGTGTTGCTGTTTTCTCTGCCATTTATGCTACCATGATCTAGTTTTATCAGAGAAATATTGAGATAAACTCATAATAAAAACATTAATAACACAACATAATTCAGCGCTATAACACTGCACAAAACTAAACTAAGAGAATACAGAAATATTTTGCAGAAGTCCTAGAGACACATTCAAAATTCGATATTTAAAAGCACTTTACAGAATTTTTGCGCCGCAACAATATCCGAAAGCGAAATGAAAAAAATCAAACTAATAAAGTAGGAAGCAGATAACACCATATAAGATGGTTAAAAAACGCTGATAAAGATCAGCAATAAAGGCACGATAGACATTTTCAAAAAGATAAGAGCGGTGCAGATCTTGACAGTCACAGTGGGTAAAAATCATATGTTTAAAAATACTACTAGGAATATTACGTAACTTGAAAAGTGACATTATGTTGTTTTTTTTTTTGTAATTATGACATTATGTGGGTTTTCCTACAAGACCTCAACTTGGAACTAGCTGTCGTTGACTTCATGCTCACTTTTAGCAAGCACAGCATAAACTATTTGCACTCTAGCCTACTTAGGACCATACAATTATTGTAGGACGCCTTTGTGGCCTCCTTGATTTTCATAGTATTTTGTCTCTTTCAGAAAGGCTGGGTATTTCTAGATGTCTACTGTTCCATGTCAGTGTCAGCGCTCCCCTATTGTGAGGTTATGTTTTCTTTTTGAACTGCAGAAAATTTCAGACTTATAAAACAGATGATATAAATCTGTCGTCTGTCGTTTACGGCTGAAGAAGATGGTCTGCATGGCTCCGTTTTCGGAGGAAACATTTGAAAGGTTCTGCCATAGTTCTGTCTACTTGATAGTTAGCTTTTATTTTGCGTTTTTAGCAAAATGAACTTACAGTCGCTTGTATCTGCAGAAACGCGTACCGTCTTGAAGATATTATTAATAAAAAAGAATAGATATTACACAAACTATATTTTTCGCTCCAGGACAAGATTTGGAAAATATCCTACCCTTTTTCCGCAACTACTGGAACAACCAGCAAAATTGTTTGAGTATATGAGACAAGAAGCTTTAACCGTGCTACAAGAAATACGCGACACATTTAAACAATATTTTAACACTATAGGAGCTATATGTGCCGTAGTAATGATTAATACTTAATAATATTCTTGCACACTATTTTTTATTCCAAACTGTTTATATTAAGAATATAATATCGAATACTACTTACTTACTTCTGAGGCAATTTGACTCCACAGTTTACGTGTTTACGTATTGTGGTATTTTTAATTTTTTTTATCCCGCAAATTCTTTTTTTCAAAAACTAGGCTATATAAATTTCACGGACAACCATTTTTATGAAATTATTCGCATCAGAATGCACCGAAGCTTCCGAAAAAAACAAATTATTTTGATTTCGTCCGATGTCCGAAAAATTCGGCCGTCGGTCGAAATCGGATGTACTGTGACCAAGTCAATAGAATACCAAGAAATTAAAACGATCGGAGGAATCGTGCATACACGGCCAAAAAATTATTCGACCGAAAACTGTGCCACTTTGACCGCAGCCTCAAGTACGCCATTATGGCCTCCTTGATCTTCGTAGTTTTTACTGTTCTACTTTGAGGTTATGTTACAAATATCTATTTGCATCAGATTGTTCATGCTTTCGATTTTTATCATGTTTTTTACCAGTCTGAAGTTCCTGCAATTCAAAGAGAAAACATAACTAGGAGAGCGCTGACGATGACACTAGAAATCTCGAAATACCCTAGCCTTTCTGAAGGAGAGAAAAGGCTATGAAAATCAAACAGGCCATAAATGCGCCCTACAATTATAGGCCTTTAGTCAACAAGTTATCATTTTATCGTTTTTTTTACATTATATAGATTTTTACGTCATAATAGCCCTGCCGTTTTCCTTCCACAAAGTCGTGCAGATCTAGGGATAGAAAATATCCATTTTGGCAAAATAATTTCAAACAATAATTGAGAATTTATTCCTCCAAGTTTCAGAGGTAGAAAATTTTACGGATGCTGGCGATGGGATGACTCTCAAACTTCCTAAATCCTTCCATATGAGTCTAGAGGTACTAACCTACGCTAATTTGCCTTCTAGGTCGACGGTGGCATGACAGCAAACCCACTTCTAATGCAACTTCAAGCTGACTTGGCAGGCGTTAACGTCCTGAGACCTGAAATGGCGGAATGCACCGCATTAGGTGCGGCGATGGCTGCCGGAGCGGCTGTCGGTTGTTGGGATGTGAAGGGGCCCCCTTTGAAGCTACCGTGTATTAAATATTCGCCTAAAATGACGGAAGATGAACGGGACGTCAAGTATGCTAAGTGGAAGCTGGCTATCGAGAGTTCCATTGGATGGGATGTTTGAGAAAAGCGTTTATTTGCAGCTGTGCATATGAATAGAAGCTGCGTACCGTATATATATTTCAAATTTGAATACTCACTTTTCTTGTCACTGAAAGATCGAATCAAGCATAAGTCATACTTATCTGAGGCTACCTGGTTACAGTATATGTTTTATTTAACAGAACAAAGGATCATGTAGGTTGAAGGTACTTCGAAAATAAAGTTTAGCTAGTGGCCTTTATGTTGATCTTATACTGAGAATTTTAAGAAGTTCTCTCTAAAATTATTCCAAGTGAAAACTGTACACTCTCTGGACACCTTTTTTTAGACGCTAAACATATTTCCATGATTTTGTTTAGTTAAAGCACAATAAGCGGGATAAGTTCATCCCTCTTAGAAAGAAATTGCTAGCGTTTACATGTGGAAATGCTCAAATTGCATCAAAAATCATACTGCGTCATTCAAGTCAGGTGTAATAAAAAAGCCATTTCTGGATAGTAACTTCAGCAGCACCATTTTCCAAAATCATTCTCCTTTTACTTCCCATGCTTACTGGCGGGGAAGTATTGTAACGTCATTCACTTCCGTCAGTCTGTCTGTCTGTGTCCGCTCAATAGTATAACCGCCTACAACTCGAGAAGTACCGCTCGGATTTCGATAAAATTTTTACAGTCACTACTATGCCGAAGAAGTTTTTGAAAATCGGTCCAGAGGCGGCAGAGAAAAGGGCCTAAAACGAAAAAAGTAAAACTCGCCCAAAATTCGTTTTTTGACGTTTCAGAAGACACTGATAATTAAAAAAAAAATTATAGGTAAAAACGGGGGTGGGGAGGATTTATCTCAATTTTTTTATGCTAGTCCGCTCCCAACATTGACAATTCTACGCACCTATTACAGATTTATTACCCTGTACATTAGCCCTGAAAACCTACACGTAGTTCTGCCACGCAACAGCATAGTGTTTTCTCTGACCGCGTTAGTTTTGCATAAGGAAATAAAACAACACGGTAGGTAGTTTTAAATGACTTTATTGTTTTTCGAAGTATTCTCCACGAAGATTAATACACATCTGCATGCGCTCGAACCAATTTTCGAAGCACTATTCCACTTGTTTGCTGGCAGATCCAAAACTGCATTTTTGAATGCCTCAACTGCTTCTTCTGGTGACTGGAACATTTGACCACGCAGTCTGTTTTTAATTTTTGGGAAAGTAAAGAAATCGTTAGGACTTAGATCGGGACTATATGGAGGATGGTCCAATAATTGCACGTTTTCTTCCATTAAATACTGCCTTGTTTTTTGGGCTGTGTGCGAGCTTGCATTGTCTTTGTGGAGGATGATTCTTCTTTCGGGGTTGATGTTTCGAAGCTCGATGATGACTTTTGGCAAATAAATGGTGGTATACCAATTCGCAGTAACAGTTCTTTGCTCATTAAGAGGAATTGTTGCAATATGACCCGCTTTTGACACAAATGTCGCGACCATATTTTTCGAAACACTTCGAGAACAGATGACTTTTGTTGGCTTTTCTTTACCTTGGAACACCCAAACAGCCGACTCTCGTTTATTTTCTGGTTCATAACAGTAAATCTACGATTCATCACCACTAACAATGCTGTACACATTATTTGAGTTTCCGGAATTGAAACGGTCAAGTGTTTTTGACACCAATTAACCCTAGCTGCTCTCTGGTCTTCAGTTAACAAGTGAGGTATCCAACGAGAAACTAATTTTCTTACTCCTATTCTTCATGTAAATTTTTTGAATTGAGGTCTTTGAGATTTCCAAGGACGCCTCAATCTCGCGATATGTCACATGTCTATCTTCAATGATGAGTTTGCGCACAGCATCGACGTTTTCCTGGGTGACTGCCGTTTTCGGTGCACCCACCCTGGGATCGTCGCTAAGACTCACCCGTCCACGTTTGAATTCTCCATACCAACGGGAAATTGTCGACTGATGTGGCGCTTCGTTGCCGAAAACAGACAGTAACTCAGCAAGGCATTCTTGTTGCGATAATTGTCTCTGAAAGTTGTAATTAGTTATGGCGCGAAAATGTTCTCGGTTGAGTTCCATTTTTCTTATGACTTGGTGACACTTAAAAATTCACTGTAGTGAGAACACTGCACGTATTGTTGTGAAACTTTGAATTTAGGTTTACTAAAGAGTGAGGTTAAGATTCAGTACTGACGTTCGATCCGCGCGGCCTACTATGTTTCTATATGCAAAACTTAAAAGACATCCTTCGTATGGACCTGTTTGACTGACTTGTTTCTCAGAGTGTCTAGTTTGTGCTGAACATTTTCCTTTATGTACTGATAAGGGTTTTGCGTGGAAAATGCAGTGTCAACCTACTTGATGCCATTTTTTTATAAACAGTAGTAGCTGCGAAGTCAGAAACGTAAATACCAGGGCACCGCGGCTGCCATGAAGCACTTAAAAAACATTGTTAATTCGATTTTTCAACTGCCTTACCTCCAAGTGCTCAGAATTTAGTGTTTTCTATTTTATAGTAGGATATGTATTCTATTTTATTTTTATCATAAGCAACTGAACGAAATTACATTATCATTATTATTACACTTCTTGCCGCTTTCATCCAAGTCTCATATGGATAGATGTTTCAAATGTTTCAGGTTTTGTCAACATGATGTATGATGAAGGTCAGTATTTTCTGTTTAGGACAGATATTCAGAATGTGCACCTGTCATAAGGTGTGAGACAGTAAGATAAACTATTATTTGTAACATAATATAAAAGATTAGATATTGTGATGTTGAAGAATCAACACATATTTAGTTTTCATGACTTTAGGAAATGACCCTGGTAGATTCAAAAAACCTATCGTCAATCGAACATTTTTTGTTAACCATATCATCCATGGTTATGATAAATAAAGTAAATAAAGGTGATACATGTTATCGATATTTTATTTATCTGATAAGAATCCCTGTCAAATATGAGCAATTTATTACTAATCTGCGTCGACGACGAAATATATCGAAACAAAAGTCGTAAAACATGTTGTTCTTCAAGAAAGGAATATATTTTGTAGCGGTTTTAGCAGGTAAGTTGGGTAATGCACTTTATTGTGACATATAGAGAATCATGTTTTTCTAGTTATTTTATCGCTATGCACCGAAAACGTGGAAGGCAGGAGGAAGATACTCAGAGGCAGAAAAACAGTGACTAGAACCTATTTCAGTAAGTACAGCTGCCAAGTTTGATTAAAGTCGTTTTAGCGCTAATTGACATGCATTTAAAACAATCTGACAGATCGACGGTAATGGATGACATATTTGTATTGCAAGATATCAAAACATGTAATATCCATCGTTAAAAAAACTTTGCAATCAAAAACGTTGTTCCTTCACCTACAAGGTGTCCCAACCATGCGAGAATGAGTATTGCTCCTAAACAAGAAGTTTAAAAGAAAACTATTTATAAATTATTATATAGGGTGTCCTAGAAGTCGACGTCAATCCGGAAACGGGAGATAGGCCAAGTCATAATAGTTATCAGAAAGTTATGAAAAAAATCTAATTTTTGTACTTTTCAAATTATAGAGGCTTTAACACGTTAACGGCCAGCGCTAAATTTTTTAAATTTGCTTCTGGACCAAGGTATATTATTTCCTAAGGACCCACACTACTAAAGCCATATTTAAATACATTACATCGACCCATATAACTTGAAACATTACCGTTGACTGTGCATTAATATGATGCACATTGTCGTTAACGTGTTAAAAAAATTTCAGGAGTGTGATTCTACGTAGTGACAGCAAGACAAATAGTAACAGCACTTTCATTAATTCGTGAGTGTATTTATTAAATTCACAATAAATGTTCAAACTTCAAACTGCATTCCTGAGATTGCACACCAACACAGCTTCAAGGTCATATGAATGAATGAATTAGTCTTGAAATTAGAGGCATTCCGGCCACCATAAGGAGCCAGTGCATAGGCCGCTTAAGCGGGCTCTTATGCACCTCTACATTCCTTAGATCACAAGCCTCGCCCTTTTAGCGAAGTTGACAATCGCCTTGAGTCCAAGCTCCTTGACGTCCTGAGGCTCCAAAGTAATGGACCCCAATATAGTCTGCCTATAGTAGCTCAGAGCTTCACAGCGACACAAAACGTGCGTCGAGCTCTCTTCCTCTACCCCGCAGCGTTCACACAAGGGATCCTCAGCCACCCCCATCACGTGCAGGTGGCGTCTTAACGTGTTATGGACAGACAACAGTCCCACCAGCAACCTTAGGTTGGCTCTATCCAGAGATAGGCAGAAACGTCCATCCTTAGCACTGGGTCCTTCAATGTTGTCTTGCAACCCACGGCGTCCCACTCCTCTCTCGTTGGATACTCCACAATAAACTTGCGTTTGAAGCGATATTTAGGGGTAATACGATCACCCCTGTCTAGAAGGACGTGGTCCTCCCTTTGCAATTCGACTAAGATGGCAGTATGTCGCTTGACAGGATTCAAGAAAGCCCAGCTGCCCTGACTCCACAGTCGATGAGCGACTACTCTCGCTTCACCGCGGATCACCAGATCCAATGGTGGGAGATCCAACAGAGCTTCCATTGCACTCAATGGCGTTGATCGCACTGCGCTTGTAATACTGATACAGGCCAAACGCTGAATTTTATTGAGTTTGGCCTTAGTTGTCTCAGTTCTAATGCAAGGCCACCAGACCAGGGAGCCGTAGAAGAGAGACGGACGTACTATCGTCGTGTAGAGCCAGTATACCACTTGGGGTTTAAGCCCCCACCTTACACCGACAACACGACTACAGGCCCACATTGAGTTTCGAGCCTTGCTAAACTTGTGTTCAACATGCTCTCTCCAGTTCAGTTTGCAATCCAGGATAATTCCCAGATATTTCACTGATTGGGATAGAATTAATCTAGTCCCAAAGAAGGTCGGCATGACCAGCCCGTCAAGCCTTCCTCTCCTAGTGAATAGGTCGGTCTTTTCAGCATTAACAGAAAGATCGACTTCCCTGCACCACAGAGCGCCCTGCATAAACTCCGAGACTGTTCTACAAAGACGCCCCCTAACGACTATGATTAAGTCATCAGCATAGGCTTGCACGTAGACACCCACACTGCTGAGCCCAATGAGGAGTTCGTTCACCACGATGCACCACAGTAGGGGTGACAGAATTCCGCCCTGAGGGCAGCCTCTAGCTACGCTGACGCTGCAGCTTACGTCATTCAGCATAGCTGTTGCTACCCGACCCACCAGAGTAGATAGGACCCAATATGTTAGGATTGATCCAACCCCGTGTCTAACCAAGGTATGTCTGATAGAGACGGTTGTGGTGCAATTAAATTCACCTTTAAGGTCATATTAGAGACCTCAAGGTGCGTAAAGTAGTTGGAGATAATCGAATCACTAATAAGGCGCAGAAGCTGCTTTCGCGGAAGTGAATCAATAGTCAATGCCATGCTAAGAACATAGTACTTCTCAGCGGCGTAGAAGACCGCTGATGTTATGATGACTCCAAAGAAGGTGGGCTCGATATTTCCCTAGGATTACCATCCCCATTAGTCTACTGACAGCTCCTTCTAAACTCGCTGAAAAGGGTGATTCTACTTCACCTTGAAAATTTTTCGTCGATCACAATGTGATTTCTGACGTGCCATTTGGCTTTGGGTCTGAGCTTAGTACGGCGGTTAGCCTTGTTGAGCGAGTAGCCACGGGATTCACCCGCAACGAACGTACTGGCATCTTGCTTCTGGTTGTCTCAAAGGCATTTGACAAGGTGTGGCACATGCAAATTGATCCATAAGTGTTTCCCCATCTGGCTCCTAAAACTTTTGAAATCGTTCATTGAGAGTAGGAAATTTCGGATCAAAATTAATAACGTTCTGTCGACAACACGGGCCATCAAAGCCGGTGTCCCTCAGGATTATTCACTATTTATCCATAACGTCTCTTACCCCAGCAACAGTGAAAGCTATCTCTATGCTGATGACACTGCCTTAGTGGTGATCAAAATTAACCATTCGAAAACGTAGGCTGTCTATTGTACTAAAAAACGTAGCGGCGCCCCGTCTGAGGCGTCAGTGAATGGAGCTCGAGTATCATGGTAAAGTTCTGCTAAGTATCTCGGTGTCACTCTTGACACGGGAATGACCTGGCAGAAGCACACTGAAACTTTGAAAACTAAATTCCAAATCACATATCAGCAACTCTACCCTATGCTATGTAGAACCTCAAAATTAAGTTTGATCAACAAAATTCAGCTATGCAAGATTTATTAGACCAGCTATCACTTACGCAATTGCTGCTTGGTGGAACCATGCGTACAATCATTAACGTCCCATGGTATATCTCCAATGAGAACCTTCGCAGAGACCTTGACATCGATTACCTGGGACTACATCAAACACGCGCAGGTACGTTGTAGTCAAGCGGAATCGCATCGCAACACTTTGTTGCGCGAGTTAGTAGACTACACAGTCGAGTAAGTTCGCAAGGCCGTGGATCGCTTGTGAACAAAATTAAATCGTGCCACTTTAGGTTCAAAAAAAATTGTAAGTTTTCTTCAACAACCAATCTCTAAATTAATTTTAGGATCAATTTAAAATTCCCGATTATTAGTTAGCAATGTCAAGGCACCACTCAAATTGACGCACTTCTTTCATCTTTGCTCGTCCTGCTTCCTTCCTTTCTTCTTCACTTCTTTCTCCCTGACTTTGTCGGGTATCTGGGCAAACAGACCTACCGACTTACTAGACTTCAACCAAGAGCAAATGTTCTACGGACCGCTCTGGCAGACAATGACGAATATATGAGGCATGGTGGCACTACACAGTCATGAATTAATAAAAGTGACGTTACTATCTGTTTTGCTACACAGATCATAGAATGTCACTGTCCGTTACCCCCTTTAAGAAAAAATAGAAATTTGTGGTAATGGGAACTTAAATATCACCACAGGATGTATTTTTCCGATTTCTTTAAAGCTCATAATTTGAAAAGTGCACCACTTAGATTTTTTATATTTTTCTGATAACTGTCAGGACGTGGCCGATCCCCCGCTTCCGGTTTAACGTCGACTTCCGAGAGACATATTTCTGAACACAACTATACTAACTTGTGCCGAATATATGCCTTTATAATTGATAAGTGTTGCGTGGGAAGTACAAAGGGTAAGGGTAAGTTTTGCAAACGGACGCAGGAGGCTGCATGTTGAGACATGTCCATGAGTGCATAGTTGCCGCCAGCAGCACGTCTGTTGATTTAGTTGTTCATTCATATTGACTAAAGTGCGGATTATGGCATCGTGGCCACGTACTCAGATACGGGCAGTTTTACGGTATAACTTTACGCGTGGTTTAAGCATAGACCAGTGCTTAGAAGAAATGACGCTTGCATTAAAGAATGATTGTCCTCATCGTACGACTATATTCAGGTGGCCCCAAATGGGCAATTTCACTCTGGAGGACGCTGAGAGGGAAGGAAGGCCGCGAACGTCATTAACAGAGGAAAACATTACTGGTGCGAGGAAAATGCTTGACGAAGACTGGAGAGTGGCATACCAACAGAGGAGACCTTCATGCACCAGCAATTCATTGAATTCTGAATGACCATTTGCATGAAAGGAAAATTTGTTCTCTCTGGGTACCGCATATATGGAAAAGCAGACGACTCATCGTACGGAGTTGGTGCTGAAAGATACTGAAAATGTTTGATAAGGAGCAATCTCGTTATGTGAACAGCATCGTGACAGGTGGCGAAACTTGGCTCTATTATTACGACGTGCCAACCAAGGCTCATAACAAAGTTTCCGTCTTTGATGATGAGCACACACCCGTAGCTGTTGAGAAAAAAATGATAGCTGTATTTTTCAAATCTAGCGGGATTGTGGAGCGTGTCGTTTTGGACAGACAGTCACAGCTAACTGGTACACGGGACGGAACCTGCCTAAAGTCATGTAGCCTATGAAAAACTTGCGGCCAAACTCAAGAATGGACACTTGGTACCTCCACCATGACAAAGTTCCAGTTCACCGCGCCAAAGCCTGCACCGAGTATTTGACCACTACTGGACTGAAACTTATTGAGCACCCTCCTTAGTCAGATCTTGCTCCCTGCGACTTTGTACTGTTTCCGCATGTGAAAATGAAATTAAAAGAAAAACGGTTTTCTAGCGACGAGGACCTTCTGAGGGCTTGGGGCAAAGAGTGTGCCGCACTCTCGGGCTAGTTTAGGAGGAATAAATAAAGTATTGCAAAACTTTTATAGTACCCTTTGTACAGACGTAACTTGCTTGGGGATAGCCATTTCGCAGTCAACCCATCCATAGCTAATTAGTTGGGGATTGGAATTAGCTTGGAGTTAATTTATAACATCAACCTTGTATTGGACATAATTGCACTCAAGTACGGTTCTTATGCATCAATCACAGTCTTACTCCTGTGAACTTTCACTTGAAGAAAAATATTTGTTTACATTCAATTATATCAAGGTAATTTGTTTTTCAGGAGAGAATGCCTTACCAGCATATGCCGTCGTCATATTGGTCGCTATCGGAGAAATAATAGTAGGGGGCCTTATATATATTGCATTAAGAAAGACAATCCTTGAAATGCCTATCACAGGAAGTTATGTCGTCACCAACACTTCAGAAGCATAGATCAGCGTCAGAACTCACTTGACGCCTGTAATATCTTTGAAGTTTTGTATTTTATATCGTTGATGTAGGCGATAAAATAAATGAAATAATCTATATAAAAAAAGATTTATTTGGAAAATGGCGAATCCAACTATAATTTCATGTCTATCAAAAAATCAGAATGTTATGCATGAACTGAAACACTGAGATTGGATTGCAGACTAAGGATGAATAAAAACAAATATCTTCAATACATTAAACTTAAGATTACGCGAAAGCCTATTCTGTTTCTTCTTCTTCCTCTTCATCACTGTAGACTTCAATGTCTTTCAGTTTATCCCATTGCAGCTCAACAGTAAGATCCTGGCCTTTCTGTTTCACCACATCTACTGTCACTGGCGCATACAGCTCTTGGTCCATAGGCGACCAGCCAGTATACTGAAAAAAAAAATATAACTGTACACGGTGTCCAATCTGAATCCCCACCCAAACATTTGCGCATTACAGAAGAAACGTTTCAAAAAGTTGTAGGGTTTCGATGCGGTAAAATGATGGTGACCTTGACTACAACCTGCAAGGTCATTTCAATCTCAAATGAAGACATTGAAAACAAATTGTTGTAGGAAAAATGTACAACAGCACAGTTGTAAGGTTTGTGGTGATCACCCAACGCTGACCTTGATCATGCATTGAATTTGTAGCATTTTATCTACACTAGCATAGAAGTAACTTGACAAAAGACAAAAAGTTTAACTCCCTATACAGGGTATTTCCAAAATATAGGGCAAAAATTCAAGTAATGGTTCTTTGGACTATTCTATGACTACCTTGATCTGATTTTTCAAAAATACCGCTTCATTTCGGAGACATAGGACAATCATCAGTTTCTATATTTAGCAAAAATCACGAATGCATTTTGTCAATCTACAAAAATCATTCAAATCGCTACTTCCAGTAAATCTAAGGTTCCAATCACCTGCTAATGAATGAATGCAAAATAAAAAATTGGAATGCATCTGATACTTTGAAAGTGAATAGTTTTTTCTAATTAGCTTGATCATCTCTACATAAAAACACTCTTTTACTATTATTTCCTCAAATTCACCATTTCTCTTTGAATCAACAAAATAGCACCACTTCTTTTGGCAGTATTAATTAATAAAAACAAATCATAGCTTGGAACTAGCATCTCTGCAGAGACACAATGTTGTCATTGTAGTGCAACTGAAATAATTTTTTATATTTAAAATATGCCATTTTAAATTCTCTTAAAATATTCTAGAATCTAAAACAGCATTTAAAGTACTTTTGAACATTAAAAATAAAAACTATTTTGGTCTTAGCTAAAAATGTTGGCCATTATAGAAATACCCTGGAATATTATCAAGGAACATTCTGTAGGACTCTACAGCTTTAGCAAACATCAAGGGCAAGAAGATATTTAAAAAAAAACCTATAAACTACAGAGGGTATCTGATTTATTAGTAGATCAAGTGGGTTTTCAAAATATGTATAGTCATTCTGATGAAACCCAGAAAAAATATACTCACTATAGAAGTGTTCCTATGCCTGACCTTCCCATCGTCAGCAAATGCTTCATATTTTTGGAGTAATGCCTTCCCATCTATTCTCCAGATGTTAGGATGCTTGGAGGGTTCCACTTGAGCATCTTTCCTCAAAATCACAAAAGAGCCAGGCTGCAAAATATATGAGTTATTTCATTGCACAGATGACATATACGAATCAATAAAATAATAATATAATAGCAATAAATCAGCCATTTATTCATATTGTTCCCACATAGGGGGAACAAACAATGATAAACTGCATAAACCTTGAAAAAAGGCTATAGAAACCTATGTTCACCAATTTTAGCGAGTGATAATTAAAATACTGGCAGCATTTTTGTAGCTTCATCTTCTTTCGAAATAGGCAATCTATGCTTGTACCTATGCAAAACTGTTTGATCTATTTATTTACTTCATATGACACTCATACATACATCTATAGGTAGAAAATACTGCTTTCTATGTTTTGCCACTTACCTCATATTCTCCTGAATTAATTGTTTTGGGTACCATTTTTTTCCCTTTGTTAGAATCTTCAGCAGACCCCTCATCTTCTTCGTCATCTTCCTCCTCATCCTCGTCCTCTTCTTCATCTATGTCTTCCTCATCCTCCTCATCCTCAGCATCTTCCTCTGAACCTGCTGAATTTGCTGCTGGTTTTCCTTTGGGTTTTGCCTTTTTGTTGGTGGTTCCATTTTTTGATTTCTTTTTTGGTGGTGGCTCATCTTCTGAATCTTCCTCCTCTTCTTCATCTTCACTGGTAGCAGATTCAGCCATGCGTTTCGGCTTTTTGGGTTGCCTGGCAGATGTGCGACGGTTATTCTTTTTCTGAAAATTTCGGTAATCTTTTTGTTTAAAGCTGATTTAAGGCATTGTCTTTTGAGTTTAAGCAGCTATAATTAAATTTTTATAACATTTTTCTTAAGCTAAAGAAGTCATATAAAATGGGTTAGACTAGTTCTTTAAAAAAATATCCACAATCCTAAGCAATTGATTTCTATTCAATTCTCTTTATTATCAGTAGAAAATAAAACAGCTTATTTTTTACGAAACCGAATTTATCCATAATTCTCAGCAAATACTCATAAAAGCATATACAAAGCTAAATTTTTGCTTAAATATGGATATTTATCACAAAATTAAGCAACTATGGAAAATTAATTAATATGAACAAACACAAACATGATGATGTGGTAGAGTTCAAGACAATATATACAGAGTGATTCTGAAAAGCTGCAGTAATATTCCCACAAAAGAAGGTATATAAACACAGGATTTAAAATAATGAATCATAAAGATGTAGGGTGCTATGAATATCTGTGCTACTAAGTGGGCTGAAACATTATATGGGTGATGGGGATTTCAATGTTCTGCCAAAAAAATCTTAAGAAAACCGACAAATTATGGAAACAAACCATCAAAGTGGAACATAGTAGTAGAAGTATATTTAGCCAAATTCCAAACTAAACTTCACATGGCATGTCAAAAGAAAGTGGTACAATAAAATATCACAATAAATCTGAATCGAGTTAACATAGCTTGTTACACCACACTATAGATAAAACAGGTTAAAAAAGCAAGATAAAAAAAAAGTACAATACAAGTTCATTCTGCAGGTCAAGGTCAAAACTACAGAAAAATAGTTACTTGTTAAAACAATATATAAAAGATATAGAATAAAATATAGAATACATAATGCTTACTGATTTTGAAGATTTGAAAATCATTCATAAGAGTAAAAACATGTCTCACTTAAATACTTAAAAACCTTATTTTTAAATTCTATATCTCACTATATATCGGAGATCTCAAGGTAGAGTATTGTACAATGAGATGTAGTTAAACTGGGGTGATTTTGTATATACCATAGTTCTAAAACGATTAGCTTTCAAAATGAAATTTCTGGTCTTATAGGTGTGATGTTCATTTTGTGTGTTGAAATCGTTGATGTTTCACTTTACATATTTAACACACTTATACATAAATATATGGAACTGTCAAGAGCTTATTTCGAATAAATGTCTTTTTGCAACTTTAGCCAAAACTAAGGTTGAACAACAATCTAATTATTTGTTTTTGTGATATAAAAACTCTGTTGATGCTTGTGGCTCTACCCCAGCATAAGATGTTATAAGGTAAATGGCTGTATACGAGAGCATAGTATAGTGATAATAGGCTCTTTTTATCTAAATACTGTGTCATATTTAATATGGCATAATAGCCTTTATTTAAATGCATGCACACATTCTCAGTTTGGGTGCTGAAGGAGAGATCTGCATCGAACCAACTACCAAGGAGTTTCACACTATCCATTAACTGTAGACCAAGCTCTAAATTTAATGCTGTCTTAGCAGTTGAGTGTATGGCTTTTCTAATATGAAAGTTGATTGCGGTAGTTTTGTTTTTATTTAGGATATGATGAAATTAAGGGAACCATTAATGTTTAGGCACAATATGCTTGCATATTTCCAGGTAAATGTGACAATTTCATGATCTGACCTTGATTAATGTTTGGCAAATCAAGCAATGATAATTTCAAACTAACACGATTTGACCTACTGTAACCAGAAACACATCATTTGTGTTGGCAGATACTCTTTTGCCAATGGTTCCAGTATTTCCCCTGGTAAGTATATCATTTTGAATGTCAAGAGTACATTACTGCAGTTACAGTAATGGACAAAAGTATACAGACAAATATGAATATTTACCTAAATACCTTTAGAAAATGAATTCATAGTTCATTGCTCCATACAAATGCATTAGTAGAAAAACTAAATTCCTTGTTTTTACATTATCAGCAATGAACACAATAGAAGTCCAAATATAACCACTTTTTTATGAGGGACAAAAATATGTAGACAAATTCTTTTCAACATTAGCTTAGTACAGTTTCATGTCAGAAGAGGATTAGTTTGTGTTCATCAAGTATTGTGGAATAAGTTGAGTGATTTTAAGACCATGCAGCATGGTCCAGAAATTTCTTTCAATGTGAAGACTAAGATCATTGAGTTATACAAAGATGGCCATCAACAAGTCGACATTGCCAAAAATTTGAAGCTGAAGCGTAAACCAGTTTGGGCAATATTGAACAAATATAAACAAAAAGGTATCTTGGAAGCCTCTAAGAGACGTGGACAGTCTAGAAAGTAAATGCTAGATCAGTTAGATTAATAAAAGTAATTTCGTCCATAGATCCGCTTAAAACCCTAAGACAAGTGAAAGCCGAAATCGAGACAAAAAGGAATTGTCAGTGTTTCTACGAAAACTATAAGTAGAATATTAAATGATTTGAAGTTATTTGCACGTCGCCCGAGTAACAAGCCGCTAATCTCGAGGAAAAACCGATTACAATTTGCACGCTTGCATCTTAATTGGAGCATCTGTGACTGGAAGAGGGTATGTTTCAGTGAAGAATCCAAGTTCAACATGTTTGGATCAGATAGTGTTCATTACGTTAGACATCTTAGTAGACAAAGATTGAACTCCAAGTACACTTTGCCCACTATCAAACATGGAGGTGGGTCTGTTCTGGTTTGGGGGTACTTTTCGGGGTTTAGGATGGGGCCTTTACATAGAATAGATGGCATTATGGATAAGTTTGTATACACAGACATACTAAAGCATGAAATGTTACCCTACATGGAAGACAATATGCCCTTAAGATCAATCTTCCAGCAAGATAATGACCTGAAGCACATTTCAAATCTCGCAAAGAAATTCTTTCTGGATGAAAAAATACAAGTTCTCAAATGGCCTTCACAGTCTGCCAATATAAACCCCATTGAAAATCTATGGGAATAATGAGCAAATACGAGATAAAAATTATTCAAACAAGGATGAACTTTTTGTGGCTTTACAGCAAAAGTGGTGACAGATTGATGAATCTTATATCAAGAAACTTCTAGAATCTATGCCGAGACGATGCCAGGTGGTGATTGGTAATAATGGTTATGCTACAAAATATTAACACCAACATGGTTGGTTTTCTATCATTCAATGAACTTTGCTTCTTTTTTCTATAATTGTTTTGCTTTGTCTATATATTTTTGTCCTTCATAGTTCGTTTTTTCAATTAATTTTTTATTGAAGGGAGTTTAATGAATTTATTTATGTATAAGTGAGTATTATGCTATTATGTATATAGGTTGGTGTAGTAATAAAACAAGTTAAAAAAGAAATACAGCACAATATTAATTTGTCTATATACTTTTGTCCATTACTGTATGTAAAAAAACAATTCTTGAATACAAATGTCAAATATTTTGTTCTTTTTGATTTATCTTAAAAAATAAATATTATGGACAATAAAAGCAACAGCTGCGACACACTATCGAAAAATTATGATTCATTTTTCAAACACAACTGTTACTCTGAGTGTTTGGGAGCTCTTAATCTATATGCTTTTATTGTTTTACTGATGGAACTGAAGACTTTCTTTAATAAAGAACTGGTAAATTTATTTAGCTAACAGTATTTATATCATGAGTATCTTTTTCATAATTTAAATGTTACTCCTCAGGCCACACATTTTCCCCTGGTACCTACACAAGCTGTCAAAATCAAAATATTATCTGAACATGTATATATACCACATATTATTACAGGGAGGTGAATGATGCAAGTAGTGAATGAAAAATCACAACTTTTCCATATTTTATATATGTATAAGACTCATTTTAGACAAAAATAGTCTTAACCTAATCTGGCTCTGAGGTGCACATATGCAGGTTGATGTTCCAAAACTATAATGTAGGTAGGTGATATCCAATATGGGCAAGATGCTTATGTACAATTGGAGTGAGAACCATATTAGAAGTCTTCCTGGTCATAGGAAGCATTTTGTGATCAATAAGCTGCTTCACTAGATACAAAATGATCTCCCGCCAACACTGAAAATCTGTGGTAAATGGAGGACTGGAGCTTACCTTTCCTTTGACTGAATCAGAGTCCCATTCTTCGCCTGAGCTTTCGTAAACCTCGGGGTCGTCTTCAGCTTCGGAAAGTTTGCTCATTGTGAATTAAAGGTTCTGAAAAACATACAGAGATCCATTATCTGAGTAAAAACCGACTAAAACAAAAACCTACGCCAACTATGTTTACATTTTGCAACATGGCTTTAACAAACATCCATTTAAATTAGCGTACAGTACACCAAGATGAAGGTAATTTCGAGGTATTTATAAATATCGTGTACTTACTTTTTGGTGACTAAAGGAAAGGAACGATTTTTAGTAGAAAATGGAATTCACAAATTCGACAGGCAAACCCAACAGCAAACAAGAAAGCCAAGCGCGGCAGGCGGCAGCACCAATCAACCAATCACAAAATGGAATGAGTAAGAAGCTTCCGGTTTGCTCACAAAACAGAAAAGCCGGCCGGTGTTTCATGCGGCGTTGCCATTAAATAAAGTGACAAATCCAAAATCTGCGATACAAATGCACCTTATAGTGTGTTCCGTACCTAAAAGGATATAGTGAAATGGTAGGTATTATGGACCGAGATGATTTAAATTCAGTTTTTGCAGACATACAGAGTAATTTACCGAAACAGACCAAATATTTAATACCACAATATCTATATCTATCTATAAATGTCTATAACAGTGAATTCGATGTACACAAAATAGAAAGTTTTCACTGATGGATCAGTATGCTTCAGTAAGATTATGTACAGATAAAAAATTACCACGCCTTAAAAGTACTTAAAAAAAGAACACGGATTAAAAAAGATTCCCTTCAATAAATATGTCTGACTGCACGCAGAAGTTATCGGAAAGTTGTACGTATAAAAAAAATAGTTTGTAGACTTTCTGCAATGTTTTGTCTTTGACCGGTATTGCCGCCACCACTATAGATATATTTTCAAAATCTTTTCCGTCATTTGCCTATTAGCGGAGAGACAGACAGACGAAAAATATATCGACTTGCTTTTTCGTGAATATAATATCCAAAAATCGAAATGTCTCGATTCTTTTTTCGAGTTTATGGTAGTTTCTTCTTTTATTGGCCTGAAAAATGTCCAAAGTAGATCTTTCATGAACTGGTGTGATGAATTTGGAGATTCCTGCTACAAATTGGCAATGCTGCACCTAAACATTTATAGCACCTTCAAAATTACAGATTACAATTTCATATTTGAGAAATAAATCTGAGAATAGCCACCATATTGTAAAATTTTGATTGGTTAGGCCTGGTCACGTGTCAGTAATTATATATCACGTGACGATAATTATACGTCACGTGATCGTTTTCAAAATGGAGGGATATTTAAAATCCTTTGTATATATACATATCAATATAATTGTAAAAAGGGTAATATTAGTGAAGCAATTGCAGTCTGCATAATCAGAAATGGTTTCTCTTTCATTTTATTATAACTCATACAGATTCAGACAAATCGTCTATTTTTATTTCTATTCGTTTCTGTTCTGTCAGTATTTGACCGCTCTCTATAAAGTACAAGAGAAACAGAATCGAACCATCTTGAATCTTTTGAAATGTGATTTTATGTTTTAAAATAAAACACGCTACACTAATATAAAAAGCAATATCCATTGAATACAAAATAAAATATTTTATGTAGAGGTGAAGATTTTCAAATTAACTGTTAACATTGGACAGGAGCTGTCAGGTCACGTGAACAACAGGATTTATGTTCCGTGCCTGCCTTCACAGCTCACAGAACGATTCTAACCTAAAAGTTTGCAAAAAGGCACCGAAAAAGGCAGAACGTCCCAGTTTCTAGAGTTTATCGCCTCTATAGTTGATAAAACACATACACACAATGTTCAAAGCGGCACTAAGATTGACGAGTCTACGTTCTCTTCTAAATCCCGTAAAAAATGTAGTTACAAAATCATCTGCGAATCAGCAGAGGCAGATAGCCCGCAGCTTGTGGTACATGTGCAACACTCGTGAGGTTGATACCAAGCACGGGTACCTATGCAGTTGCGGATGCAAAGGATCTCGACATGCACATACTAAAGGTATTTCAACTTTCTGGAATGATGTAACTTTTATAATTATACCATGAATTTGTAGCTGCGAAGGAGTTAGTCGAATTCCTTACTGAAGAAATTTTGGCAGAGAGGAAGGCTCAGAAAGTGAAAACGATTCCAACTGAGGTTGATGGATTCAACGCTAGCTTAAGTGGAGCTGAGGTTACTCTTACTAAGCAGGCAGGTGGTGAAACGTAAGATTTTGTCTGTATTATGCCTATTTATTGATTGCTGGTGCTAGGTGGCATATAAATTCACATTAAAACCAGTTATGGATCTCAAATACTCCTAGACAAAACATACATAATATCTGTGATGATAATAATAGGTTTCATAAATGTATTGAAGCTGTCGCTGTGATGTCTGTATCTTTGTTTCTTATTTATTTTCTCTCTGTACTGAATTTTAATGTTATAAAAATTAGTTGAAGATGCTAGTTTTTATCAAAAATGTTTACATTAACCTACTGTAGATAATTTTAACGAATTTATATGCTTGTTTTTATCATACATTTTCAAATTACCAATTTGATTGCTTTACTGATTTTTTTACCTATATTGTGAACTGGTTTTTGTCAAATTGTTTCTAAGTGTGTGCACTATTTTATAGTGGAACACCTGAGTGACTATTTCACTAAAATTAGTAACCTAGGGAAATAAACTTTACTCTTACATCTCATCATTCAATTTATACTTGTGTTCCAGAGTGAAGATTACTTTCAATGTTAACCACAGTGTAGATACAGATGATGAGCCAGAAGTACAAGAAAACATGGATAAACCTGAAATTGGGGAGCTGAAATCAAAGCCAGCATTTAAAGTTGAACTGGTCAGAGGAAGCACAACACTCAGCCTTATGTGTTCCTTCATCAGCCAACAGGATCAGCAAGAGGAAGGATATAGTATGTGTAATTTGTTGTAACTTGATGGATTTCTATTGTCAAATGTTTACTTTTCCAGATGACATATTTGGAATCGACGAGGTCAGCATTTATGAGGGTGAATGGAATGAGAATGTCTATTCAGTTTCAGGAGAGGTTATAGATTCGGTAAGCCACATAATTATTTTTTCTGCATATTCTCTGAATAACATGTGGGTCAAGTAGACTGACTGTACTCCCACCCTTTCGGAACAACTTGTACAATTTTACATGTAGTGCAATGGCATTAGAAAGTCATAGGTTTTGCCAGAATTGGTAGTATTCTATTTGGGCTTTTCATGAAAAATATTTATATTTGTCTTGATACATATGTACTTATATACTATATATACTGTGCTATATAATATTACCTCATGAAATTAAAAAGCCTCAATAAATTACACTCCAAGTGTAATGCTCATATATACAGATATATTATAACAAAAAAAAGGCAAATAATGGGCAAAATCCGCAAAAAGAAGGAAAGTGGATTCGAGCAGATAATAGGATAGGTAACCTGAATCATACATATTTCTGCTGGTTGGCTTCATCAAGCCCGAGATGGTCCATGGTTGGCCATCTATGGTCAGATGAAAGCTATATTACTAGTTTATTCAAAAACTCTACGGTGCCGCCGTTTTGGATATTTTTTCATTATAATTTTCAGTTTTTAAATGTATGCTTGAAAATTTCTTCCAATATCATTACAATTTCTTCCACAAAAAAAAAACGTATTTAGGCTGTTAAAGTAGTGTTACCCCTAAAAGGAACTTGTATAATTTTTGAGTTCTATATGTATCCGAGAGATTGACAGGTTATTTTATACATTGTTTCAACATCTGAGTGATCATAAATATTATTTCAAATACCATTTGTAATTAATGCAGCTTGTAGTAACTGAAAACTATTTTTTCAGTACTTATATGACCTTATTCTGAACTACCTAGAGGAGAAAGGAGTCTCCAACGAATTTGTAGAAAAACTTTCAAACTATGCTACCGTATATGAACATTCTGCCTACATAGGTCTGCTGGAAGGCTTATCAAAGTTTGTGTCTGGAAAGTGAATATAGTTTAGGTTTAATATGAATGTGTAAGGTTTTGTTATGTATAGTTTTAATAACTCCCAATAAACCCCTTTCTTAAGTTAAATTTTTTAGATGTTTCCCTTACCTCCCAACAGTTTTTAACAAACAGCTTTTGAATTAGCCAGACTAGCCCCGCCCAAGTGATCTAGGTTCTACCTCAAATTCGGTCCTTTGACAAAAAGACTATACAACAGTCTCATCGAACTTTTCTGCCTACTATTGTAGTGCTAATAATAATAATTTTTACTGAGGAAGCTTGATATAAAATAAGTATAATTCATTCGAAATTATCTGGTTTCATTTTTGTAAATCGGACCGGTTCTTCGACTCGTACGACCTGGATTCCCGTAATTTCCTGGCCTTGTTTTTTTTCCGTTATCTGAGGCGTTAGCACTCTCGGTAGTACCTGACAGATACTTATCTTGGTACAAAAAAATGCCAAAAACCTATACCCTATTTCACGAGTATCCATCACGCTTTAACGTCGAGGTGTACAGCTTGAAAAATCGAAAACTGTTGAAAAACACCGGGATTCGTATAAAAGAAGATCTGACTAAATCGCGACTGAAGTTATTTAAAAGATGTATTGATTTGTTTACGAAAAACAATGCGTGGATTCTAAGAGGAAATATTTACGTAAAACAAAACAATGAAGTTAATCGAATCGCCAGTGATGAGGACCTACACAAAATTAATGTTTAAGAGTTTTTTTTTTTGTAAGGTTTTCAATAATCAATGCAGTGTAGTGAGGTATGTGGGAGGACGGGTGCTGCAGCATTCTAACATGTAGGTAACATTACTGTGGATGTTTTCAAAGTAGGCAGTGTTAGGCGTTATTTCTAGTCGTAAAAAATGTATTAGTATTAACTACTTTGAATGTGGCTTAATCAGTACTCGTCTTTTCGCCTATTATTATTTTTCTTCATACACTTTTAGGTTAAAAAAATAAGAAATAATTGTTTAATAATAATTAGTACGAATCACAATGTTGTTATGCAATAATTTTAAACGAATTTATTAGTCCATACACATATACTTTGCCAATTTACAGTAATTTTATGGACACTAAATAAAATAAAAATGCCTAATTTCAAAATACATGTCAAGAATAATTAAATTAAGAGAATAAATAATGAATTTCTGTTTCATTCGTATACTCGTTGTTTTTTGGAAAAACCTCAAAAGATGTGGCAGTGGTTTCAGTTTTTTATTTTTCGCAGCAAGTTATGGACTTAATTCTGATAATTTTTGGGAAAAACATAAATTGTGTCTCTGGACCTGCTAATGCCACAGATAAACGCATTGCTGTGAGGGTATGTATGCAAGTACGCATGTATACTTAAGAATGGCAATTATTTTTAGGTTGTTAGGTTTAGTCTCGTTTACAAAATTAAATAAGAACAAAATTGTAATAGTGTTACATAGAGGTTATAGGGTGACGCGGGGGCATGGGGATGACGGGGATTGGTCTTCGGGGACTGGCAATAGTGAGGAAATAAGGGATAATGGATAATGATAACATGGGTCAGCGAGTGGATAGTGTTAATGATAAATCAATATTTGATAGTCCACATCAAAACCATTTCACAGTCGGACATCTAAATATCAGATCCATAAATTCTGGATTTGACGAGTTCTGTAATTATATGACAGAATACAATTTTGATATTTTTGGAGTTTCTGAAACGTGGCTCAATCCAACTTTAAGAAGTGAGAGTTTTTGCTTGCCTGGGTACAAATTTGTAAGGAATGATAGGCAGGGTCGAGGAGGAGGGGTAGCTTTATACATAAAAAGCGGGTTGAAATATTCAAGGGTAAATGTGGAAATTAACTGTGCAGAAACCATATGTATAGAATTTAAGATAGGTGGAAAAACTTATCTTTTAGTTAATAGTTATCGTTCGCCTTCTGAGAGTGTCACTTATTTTTTAGACTCCTTAGAAAATTTTCTCGGTTTTGTCAGTGTCAAATATGATTATTTATTACTGATAGGAGATCTAAATATTAACATTTTAAATAATTCTGCATACACAAATCGCCTCAAAAATATAATTCATAGTTTTAACTTATCACAAAGGATCAGTGAGCCAACAAGATTCAATTTTGCCACAAGAGAGGCTAGCCTCATTGATATAATCTGTGCTAGTGAGGATCTTATCTCTATCGATTCTAAATCATTGGCAGTTTCTCAAAATCTCTCAGATCATAACTTAATTTACTCAGCCTTTCGAAAGTCAAAAATAAATAAATCACAAAAGACTATTAAATATAGAGACTACAATAATATAGATAGAGAATCCTTCTTAAATGAAGGGTTTCTACTTGGGTGGGAGGATATTTACTATATAAACCAAATCGACCGAAAAATAGAAGTCTTTAATAAAAATATAGTAACTGTTCTGAATAAACATGCTCCAATAAAAACAAAACAAATAACCGAAAAACCTTATGTACCCTGGATAACTCAAAATATAAGAATTTTAATCAGACTAAGAGATAAAGCTCATAAAAAATTTCAAAAATCAAAATCACAGGCTCATTTTGAATATTATAAACAACTAAGGAACTATACAAAGCATGCAATTATCCGAGAAAAAAATACATTCTTTAACTTACTCTCAACAAAGAAAGGTAAGGAATTTTGGGACACTACCAAAAAGCTCAACATAACATGCAAGAAAACTCACTCAACTATACCCGAACACTTACAAAATGTAAATGACATACACAATTACTTCCAGCAGACCGACAATTTACCAGACACTGCTTCCCAAGAATTAATCAATTTTTACAAAAACAATGTAAACATTAACGATTCTCTTAGCTTCCAACTGTTAGACAGGGCCAGTCTAATCAAAATTGTAACTAATATCTCATCAAATGCCATTGGAGAGGATGGTTTCTCTATGAGAGACCTAAAGTTATGTATCCCATTTTGTACGAATGCCTTGCTGAATATAATCAACACATGTATTTTGGGGGGATTATTTCCAGAAATATGGAAGAAAGCTATTGTTAAACCCTTACCAAAAATAGCAGAACCTAAAGAATTTACAGACTTGAGGCCTATTAGCATATTACCTGCTACATCCAAAATTTTAGAAAGGCATATTTATAATCAAATTAGGTTTTTTTGTGACACAAACGATATCATACCAGATAGTCAATCCGGTTTTAGAAAAAACTTTCGCACAAGTACATCATTAGTTAATATCTTGGATGATATCAGACATCATCAAGAACAAAAAAATAGTACGTGCATGGTTCTTCTCGACTTTAGTAAAGCGTTCGACACTCTGAATCATGAAATGTTACTAGCTAAGTTACATTACCAGGGGTTTTCGCAGAACTCCGTAAATCTAATAAAAACATACTTAAGTAACCGTTCAAATTGTGTTATGTTAGCAAATGATTCTGCTATTTACAAAACCGATTTTAAACCTATAAAAAGAGGAGTTCCTCAAGGTTCAATTTTATCTCCTTTGCTATTTTCAATCTACATATCTGACATGGTCAAATCGGTAAAATTCGCAAAGATAAAACAATATGCAGATGACTCACAAATATATCTCCCTGTCAATAAAACCACAATCCATATTGCACAACAACAACTAAATTCAGATCTCCAAAGAATTGACACATTTGCAAAGCATCACAATCTTAAACTAAACCCCTCAAAATCGCAAGTAATGGTTATGAATAAAAACAGTATTGAAAGAGAACATTTTGAACAAAATTTAGTAATTTCTATTAACAATGACAGAATCCCCATAGTTCAGGAGACAAAAAATCTGGGCATTATATTTGATAGCTCGCTTGGCTTCGGCAGTCATATAAAAAACAGAACAAATTTAGCTTACATGCGACTAAAAAATATAAACAAATTAAAAAAACATTTATCAGCCAAACAAAAATATTATTTGTGTAATACCTTAATTTTATCACTTTTTGACTATGGAGATGTCGTCTATGGTGATTCGCTATCATCGCGAACCAAAAAATGCATACAAAAGGTTCAAAATAGTTGCATGAGATTTGCATTTGGAATTCCATATCGAAACCATATCACTCCTTATCTGAATAACTACAACATATTAAACATGACGAATCGCAGAAAATATCACATGTATTCTTTTATCTATAGGGTTATAAAAACAGGTCAACCGTCCTATTTAAGAGAAAGATTTGTGCCTTCGCCTAGTGCCCAGAGAAGTAGAAATAATCTCAATTTTATCGTACCTAGGCATAGAACGCGTTCCTTCCGACAATCGTTTGCCTATGTGGCGGTTCACTTATGGAATAATTTACCAACTTCAGTTAAAAGCTCATCGTCAAAAACATTCTCAAAACTGACAAAAACGTTGTTACAGAATCACCAGCTACTTTAGCAGCGTTTGTGTGAGCAAAAATAACGTTTTTACATTCCTACTCGCTGACAAGTTGTATAGATTTGTTTTTCGCGTCCGTTGCCAGCTCCCGGGGGTTCTCTCTTCGTTTTTGCCTTTTTTGTGTTTCACCGCCTCTTCGTTTGCCTCTTTATTGTATTTGTTATTTTTTTAAGAACT